ATATGATTCGAGGCATACAAGAATCATAAATATTAGACGGCTGAACAGGTCAAGTCTAATATGTGCTTAATAAAAGTTTCGAGTCCTCGAAGAAAACCATGCAGATAATTCGATTTTCCCTTGAGGTCGTATAAAATGAGGGTTCTTTCGTTTGTTCGGTTGGTAGGAGTGACGCATAAGGGTGGATGAAACGTAAGACTTGAATCGTTAAAGCTTGCGCCATGCAAACACCGCGAGATTAAAGGAGCCTCGACGCCAAAGGCACATCCCGGCCACTTTTTATACATGCACGGGACAGAAAATCCAGCAATACTTTTCCACATTTTTATTAATCAATGAAACAGATAGTGTCACGCTAATAATAAATCCTATTATATTTTCGTAGTCAAATATTGGTGCGATTAGTATGTGAGTATTATTAATTAATTAATGCCGTTAATCGATATAACGTGAACATTAATAGGCATTTTAATAAGCATATACGAATAAAATTTTTTTTTAAAGGATGGGAAATTATCTTAACAATTTCAATTATCATTTTTATTTTTTATTCGTTTCCGTTGAATTTCGAATCCTTTGAATTTATGCAACTACTGCGCAAACTACAACTTTTAATAATAATAATAATAATAACAATAATAATAATAATAATAATAATAATAATAATAATAATAATAATAATAATAATAAAAACAACAATAATAATAATAAGGCAATAAATTAACTCATTGTTTGAACGATAAAAGGTAAGTTAATAAAGAAAAAAAAAAAAAAACATAAAAATAAAAAAAAAATTAAAATAAAAAGATCGGCTTTAATGAAAATTGACAATTATAATTTGAAGTTAAAAATCAAAATGATTTAATTTTTAATGGCTATTGAATAACAAAAATACAAATAACGCTACAAAAGCTAGAAAGAGAGTCTAAATAATTTTTAAAAAAGACTTATTCTCGGAGATTATTGATTATCGAACGACTAAAGCCAGCGTCTTACGGGCTATCTTGAAAGTTATTACAAGAGGCCATTTTCTTCACGTCGGTGGAAAAATTGAGATAAAATAGCCGATTCGTCGGTTGTATTATATACATTATTGGGCAAACTTACATTACATGAAATTAAAATAATTTTGTTGTATTTGTCTAAGCTGATCAATAGAAGATTGAAAGCATTGGAATAGGGTTAGCCGAAAATTGAGATTTTCGATTCCGCATGAGTAATGAAGCGCGCGCCGCTCGATCAAAGGTTTCACCTCAAAGCTGCCTTAAGTTCATCTTTAAATAAAAATGAAAAGGGGAAAAGTCCTCGGTCCTCTCACGCGAAAACCCCGAGACACAGAGGGAGGTATTGTTCGGAGTGAATCTCTTAGCCGCTATTCGTGCGACGAAACTCACAAGAGAATGCCCACGGCTCCGTCTCCCTCCCTTCCTCTTCTGCTCCAGCAAACCTCAATCGTATTCTCTTCAATTGCACTTGGCAGGCACGACTGCACTCTCGCGTGCACGCAAGGACAAGGAAAGAGACGGAAAGACAGTCAGTACGGTGAATAGGGATAGAATAATGCAAGGCGCGCGCGCCCGACGGAGAGGGCTAGAGTGAGAGAGGTAGAGAGAGGTAGAGAGAGGTAGAGAGACGTAGAGAGAGGTAGAGAGAGGTAGAGAGAGGTAGAGAGACGTAGAGAGAGGTAGAGAGAGGTAGAGAGAGGTAGAGAGAGAGAGAGAGAGAGAGAGTGTGTGAGTGAGATAGTGAGGGGCTGAGGGGAGAGCGGAGCAAATCGCTCATCAAGCAAATAACGCCGACATGTAGCAGCGGTGAGTCAGACGCGAGGCGCGCGAACGCGGAGGCGCACCAGTAAGCCGACATTCGCGCGTTTTCTTGTTTCACGAATCAGTCACGCCACTGTATAATGTTGTGCGGACGAATGCTAAACGAGCCGAGCACTCCACGACGGCCCGCGTCTCTAATCATCGCCAATCGCCATATTAAGTTGGAAAATTTAGATTGTTGTAATGCCGCTATTACCGAGGCTTTCAGTCTTCCATTCTAAATGCCTGCCGAGCCTCATCAAAGTCCCCTTAATACAACCTAATACCCTCTCCCCTCCGTCTATCGTGAATTGCATCATTTTTAATATGAACGCCAGATAAATGGTCAATTTATTCGTCAATCGCTTTTGACTCCCACAACTAGCATATAAATGGCGCGAGTAGGCAACTTGGACGTCTCTGTCAAAACGTTGAAGCTACAATTCATCGACGCATGAGATTCTCCTTTCTCGCGGGATAAAAAAGCTAAACAAATCAAATTCAGCCAATATTCAATCACGTTTTATTAATTGTCACGTGCGAATTCTACATTGCCTGATAAGAGATGATTTTTTTTTTTTAATCGAAACAAAGTCTTATATTAAAAAATTGATATTGAGTTTTAATTTAAGCCAATGATTATTTTACAGGTAGGCTAAATTATATTGGGCAATGAACTTTCATTGCAAAAAAATAAGAAAATAAGCACAAAAAAATAATAAAGCAAGAAAAAAGCACGACTTACGTGTTGCCGAAAATAATTACTTTATGAGAGCAATGATTATAAAAATGGTGCGTTACGCAAATGGAATTTTTAAATAATCCACTTATTACATCCCTCGACATTTTCATAAATTGTTCGCTCGTTCATTGCGTTTCCGAAGACGAAGAGAATACATGCCAATTACGATATAGAAAATCCCGTAATTTTTATCAATTGTGTGATATTACTTTTGTCACATCGTAATACTTGCAATATCATTACTTCACAACGATTTCGCACAATACACGTGCAATCTTCAAATCACTTGGATAAATTTTGTTATTTAAATTGGATGAAAATTATTTTCCAGCGCAAATAGCGCCCGTAACTTATTCAAAATTCGTCTCGAATAATTATCATTTCTTTCCCAGAAATCCCCACTTCATTTTTAAATACGAAATCATTATTAGCATTGTGATTCTCGAGGGAGGAAGGCGGTGCCTCAATAATAGTCCAGAATTGCTATTCATAAGAAAAAGGCTGCAATTAACGTGTAAATTTCAAGCTTTACTGTCTTAAATAAGCGTGTCGAATAACATACGCATCTCTTACATACATACGTTCGTAGATGCAAGAATGGTGATTTGCACCTCCCTCCCGCCCTCGTCAGCTCGCTCGCTCGCTCGCCCCGCTCACTCAGTCACTCTTCCAGAGTAAGCTCGATCGTGAAAAGTGCGCATCACCGGTCTAAGGCGAAGACATACGCACACGCACAAGATCAACCATTCCCCTTCTGTAATTACATACTTACTTTTAGTTCTGGAAATATAACACAGGCACACACGCACAGTCAATGCACCGACGCTCCCGGCATTGTTCTGGGAAATTACGTGAAACGAGGGAAAGTGGAGCAACCCCCCGTCTCCGTTATTTAGATATATACGCATACATCGCGCACGTAGCCCCTCGGCCCTCGATCTATTCCAACACTCCTACGCTTAACGGTCCCTCGGAAAAATTGCATCCAAATGGCGTATGCGCGAGAAGGGTCGTTCGCCCGACGCGTTCCGTAAACATCGTGGATGAGAAACGGAGAATAGGAAAAGGCAGAAATCATTACAGAGAGAGAGAGAGAGAGAGAGAAAGAGAGAGAAGAGACCAACTGACTGCGAAAGAAAGTGACAAGCAGGAGATAGGGAGAGGGGAAAGAATGGGAAAGATCGCTAATTACAAGATATAGGGGAAGAACGCGTTTAGGCTTCGTGACCGTGATACAGCGGGACATGCGCCTCGCCTCTACCGACCTTAATATTACTCCCAGAGGCTGGACTGCTATTCGTTTGCACTACATCTTGTTTCTATAGGCAATCTTCGCTTCCCCAAGCCACCCCGGACTTCTTTCTCCTCAATATTATCTGGGCCCGAGTCGTCGTTGGTCGGTATAGAGTCGCCGATGCGACGACGAAGCCTCGCCCGGAGGAGAATCGAACGTTAAATGTGTTTGTTCGCGGGAATATGGACTCAGCAATTATGAATTGGAATTCGCTTGTGCCTCGTGTTGTATAACTCATATGGACCTCTGTTTGTTCAGCGCGTTGTTTGTTATTTTTAATTTTATTGGGGATATACGCGCCTGAGTCTATCGCTGCCCAAAACAATAATCGACGAATGCATTAACGCAGAAAAATTTCTCCAAGGACAAGCGCTCAACTGGTCTATATCTACGTCGTATCTCGAGACAATATTTTAAGGCTCTTAACCATTCGTTGGACATGCTCGATCGCTCAATTTGCCTCATTAATCTATCCAGTACCCGTGGCTAATGCGCCAAATGTCCTAATACAAATCAGCCGTAAAGCATAATAATTAAATTTTATGAATTAGGTGTGTGTGTGTACGATATGTTGGACGAGCTTGTCCAATTGTAAACAGTTACATAAAGTCCCTCTATATTTCGTCGTGCAATGAAAGGCCGTAATAGAAAGAAAAAAGCCAAAACAAAGCAAAACAAAACAAAAAGATAAGGGTAAATAGGGTATTTTATGTATTAAGAGAAGTTGTTTATTATGTTGGACATTGGCATTAACGTAAATAAAAATATGTCGACTAATTCAGTGACTTGGATGGAAAAACGAAATAAAACATAATCAAAGAAACAATGTTTTTGAAACACATAATAACTTTAACTCTAAGCTAAACAAAACAAAACAAAACAAAAAACAAAAAAAAAAACAAAAAAAAATGAAACAAAAAAACTTCGGGATTCAAAAATTTCGTAAGCCCCTGGAGTTTTCAACGGGAATTTGATGTGCGCTCGATAAGCATGACACCGCAATTCCTCGACTTCGAATTTCATTGGCCTCCACGAAATTTCGCAGCCATTCAATTTAAACAAGCTTTTCTTCTTAGAAACATTTTCACTTGGGCACGTGCGCGATGAAAAAGCACCGCTCGAGAATTACAAAACGTTACCAATCTGCTTTATTTTTCAGGCAAGTTATGGATTGGCGAGAGCGAAGTTACTTGGCGAACGGAGCAAAATCTAAAGCGCACCTCACCGTTAATCGCATGCACAACGACCACGACTACGACGACGACGACTACGGCAGGTGAAGGCGGCCCGACACTCCCCCACATGACGCCACCCTTACTCGCCTCCGCGAACGCTCCTGATCTCAGAAGTCCCTCGACCCTTCACGTTAAGCAACTCTGCGTCGTTTCGCCGGGTAAGCAAGCACGCTTCCATTATCAAATTTCAAGTCCCAATTGAGAGAGGAATTTATTTATCCAGCTATCCTAGGAACTATCGCGTTTTAGTATTTATTCATCTGGGCTGGGTTGGGGTTGCGATTGGGGGGGGGGGAGTGGAAAGGGGCAAGGGGGAGGCGAAAGGCTCGTATTATTTTAAATTGATAACATGTAAGTAGGTCTCGCTAATGTAAATTCTCTTTTCTTCCTGTACCTAGTCACCGTACTTCTATTGATTGTCAATCTAATAAGATTAAATAAAATTCTAAAGTTTATTTTTCCATTGAAACTTCACATCAAGTTAGTAATGTAATAACGAAATAATAACGTATACTTACACAAGTACATATTAGACTCGTGCACATTTATATACAGCGAGTAAACTATTTCTCAACTTAATTGTAATAATTAACGAACTGGCAACTCTGTACTGCATCGAATTCTCATAGATTTTTCGATAAAACATCATCCTCGAGCATAAGCAAAAAATTCGAGTCCAATGAGCATCTCCAAAGTCTACGCCTCACCTTACAGCGATCGAAACCGCTCGAGTTCGAGCTCGAGGAAAAGGCTTCGTCGCGATTCTCGTGGTCTGCACACATACAGTACAGTGCACTCTCTTAGCATACATCTCGAGTATCGATCCCCCCCGGAAGATGCTCCCTCGCGGCGTCCTTAAAAGGCGGAAGCCGATCCCGGGCGCTCCCTTCGTTTGCTTAAACAAACAACGCCACTCGACAGCCCCCGCGATTCCGCCGCTCCGACGTACTTTCGCGGGCTTCTCGAGTTCCAAGCTACGGACCTGGCGACCCCCCCCCCCCCCCCCTCTCTCTCTCTCTCTCTCTCTCTCTCTCACACACACACACACACACACACACACACACACACACACACACACTTCCCCCGAGCTCTTCTCTGTTTTTCGATGAAGGGTAAAAAAGAGAGAAAGGCCAAGGAAGGCGCGCAAAGGGCTGAGCTGAGCTGAGCTGAGCTGAGGTACTCCGCAACATGTTTAATGCATCGCTCAACATTTCCATGTCAAACATCGCCTTTGACTTGCGGAATTTAAAACCGCTACTTCGCCTCTGCTAAGCTTTTTCTCTTTTCTCATCTCACTCTCTCTCTCTCTCTCTCTCTCTCTCTCTCTCTCTCTCTCTCTCTGCCGTTTAACCATTATGAGCATCTATCCTACTCATATTTAAATGTGAGTTTAAAGATATACATTTTATATGCCGTTAACCATATATGGAACTTATACTTCCACGCATATTCTACTGCTAGAAACAAGCATAATATATTTGTTATCTAAATTTAGATTTAGATTATTGTTGTCGTCGTCATCGTCGTCATCGTCGTCGTCGTTGTTGTTATTACTACCGACAATAGGTTTTGTCATTATCACGTATAAAGGAGCTTTCGTAATTTTATTATCATTATAAATCAAATAATATCGTTATCGTTTCCATCAACGAATATTTACATAAAATCAATATTGTTTTTATAATTAATTATGCACATATTCGCATCATTAAATGTGCGAATTAATGAATATCAACGCTAAGTTTTTAAAAACTTTATCCACTCTTAATTAAAAGCAATCCGTGTATGACGGACTAAATTCCATTGGGCATCGCACCTACTAATTTGCTCATTTATATTACTAGTACAACAGAAGAAAAAAAAAAGAAAAAAACAAAAGGAATAATTGAAACAGAAATCCTTTTATTTTTTTCTTATTTTTTTGTTGTTTTTTTTTTTCGTCTTTGAAATATTCAATCGCATAATAATGAAGCATGAGCAATCGAACCTAAATGACCAAATTTTAATTATATGTTAATTTGCTAGAATGGCCAATAACGATGGGTGGTTGATGCCTCCGTAGAAACGCGTAAACGGCATCAATGACGCGCATAAATTAAAAGCAAAAAAATAAATCACCAAGAGTTAGTGTAATTGATTTAATATAACTGTTTCAGCGGTCGGAGAAAAAAGTACATGTGTCGCTTAAAAAGTAATCTTCAAAGTCGTCCGACTGTGTAACATAGTACTGTCCCGTGTAAATTACGTTGGCTTGTGGAAGGAAGAAGGGCCCCTTTTCTTTCTCCATATACTTCTCCCTCGAGACAATCGTTTTTTCCTTGAGTTGAAAAGAAGTATTCCGCTCAGTTGGAAGTATTTAAATTCTGCTCACTTCGGTAACTTCTGTGTATATGGTTGTTTTTTTTTTTTTTATCAGACATCAAGCGCTATTATCGTAATACTATATTTTTAATCACAAATCACAATTAGCAATGAATTTCATTTTGGAATTAATTTATTGTTAATTAATTATTGAAAAGTGATACTTCTCCTTTCATTGCCTATTCAAATTACTTGCCATGTTTGTGTTAAAATTTGTGAAGATAAAATTACGTATTGCAAATTGAAATTCAAATTTAATCATAACAAGTGATGCCGTTGTATTTATTATAAGCTATTATCGATATTATTCACGTTCATCATTTCATATTCACTCAAATTATCACGAATATGTAATATTAATTTTTCCTTAATGTGAAATTCTATGGTATTAATCAAACTATTTTTATACAATCGACAAATGAAATATTATCTTGTGAGATCGCATGGTGTTGATCAATCTAACTCCTAAAACTCCATTGCTACACTGTGTAGGCGCCCCATACTTACGAGAGCGCGTTAGCTCACGTATACACAAGTTCCTACACAAATAGTACATGAACTCGTCCGTTATTACAGGAAAAATCGTGCACTTGTGTGTAAGCGGGGGCCCTCGCGCATTTCTGAACGTATATGTGCTGCAGGTGGGGGAGAGGGACGGAGTGAAATATTGGCTACATAGATTTCAACTATTATTACCGAGTGTAAAACATGGCAACATTTGGCGCTAAATCGATCTGGGTCGGTGACAGAGGTGCGGCGGCGGGGGCGGGGCGGAGGGGCGGAGGGGCGGAGGGGGAGGAGTGTAGAGTGCGTGCCGGGTGGCTGGCCGAACCGGCCATTCGCGAGGAAATAAATACGCTTCCAAAAGCTGCGAAATGACGAGAAACACATATTTTCCTACTTAAGCTGTCGGGCCTGTCTTTTGCTGCTTTTCCCCTTTCTCGAATCTTTTTCACCCCGGACCAAGTGTCCTTCGACACTAGGGAAAAGTACGACTGCCACTTTGTAATGGTTGCACGGATACCCCGGATATTTGGATATTTCGGATACTAACTCGGCTCAAATTGAATTCTGATTTATTTTCACAAGTTATACGCTCATGCTTAATCTTAAATACATACATATAGTTTGATAATTATACTTTGATTAAAATATCTTTTAGCCAATAAGCAATGAATCCTCGGGGCTGATTTCACAATTCATAAAAACAACCGACAAAGCGTAAATTATTTTATAACTTTGCTCGGTATGTATATTGAAACTATTATTAAAATATTTAAAAACAACGAAGAAAAAGTAATAACTAAACTATATAAATAAATAAATAAATAAAAAAAATAATATATATATATATATATATATTGTAATATTATCTATCAGTTAAATATCATCAGATAAATACGTTTATTCGAATAAATATGAAATATAAAAGTATATAAATCTAAGAGTTTTACAAGTGCGCGGATATTCATATGGTCAATTTACTCAAATTTATACTTGTTAATTCAAACGCTAATGAACATTTAAATATGTCTTCAAAATATAAACTCTAATGTTTATGGATGATAAAATTTTATTTTAAACCTACTAGTCGATAAGGCAATAATTACGACTATAAGAGGTAATGAGAGTAATACTCTTTACTACTAATGCAATGGTTTAAAGTGTAGATTAAAAAAAAAAAAACAAGTTACTAAACCTCCGAATTGGTTGACACAGCATTCGTACTATTTATCTTTAAAAATTAACAATAATATAATTAGCAAGCTTGACTAGTCTTTAGGATTATAAAAATAATGTCATTCGTATGACAGAAGCGTCAAGATTTTCATGTAATGTTAATAAATCGTTGCCATTAAAACTTGGAAGGTAAAAATGATTATTTCTTAATTTCGAATATGAAGTAATCTAAATGTCTTCCTTTCTTCCTCTGAAAGAACAAAATTCGCCGGAATACTATAAATGTATCGCTCTCGATATGAATTTATCACACGAAGGAGGACTACTCGCGCAATTAACGGATTACGACGAAACAGCGACTCGCGAGCACCAACGAGAAGAGAATCGAGCAGATCCGTGAGAGAGTGGATGCTGGTAAAGAGGGAGGAGAGGGGGAAGGCAGCATTTTTCAGATTGTAATTTTAGATAGGAGATCGCGATTCTCGCTCCTGCGCGAACGCCACGGCGTGTGTAGGCAAATTGAGGTGAGATTGGAGGTCAGCTCAGCGCCGCCGAGGAGCGTCGCGCCTTTGCAGCACGATATTCTCCCCCCCCCCACCCCGCCCCACCCAATCACTCCCCGCCCCTCTCCCGACCCGTACGAAGCTTGCTAATAAGGAAAAAGTTACAGTTGTAAGTCGCGAGTAATGCAGCTCCATGGACGCCTCCTTATTTATTGCTCCTATCTACAAATTCGCTCGGAGATTTATTAATACGTAAATGGAGAGAAAATACCTGATAAGTAATTTTTTCAACTCCGCATCTGAATATAGTGTCTCCTAATTTGCATTTTATTCATTATTTATAATTATTGTATTTTCGCGATTATTTCTTTTATTTAGAATGAAGGTAATGCAAATTTATATATATATATATATATATATATATATATATATATATATATATATATACTAAAAACAATAATTTATGATAGTTGTGATATGTTTTAAAAGAGTAAATCGATGGAAATTTGAATTTTTTGTATATTGGGCCGAGAATTGAAAATTATAGGTATGATTTAAAAATAATGCCTATATTAAGACAACTTTTAATGTATTAATAATATTCGTAATATTCC